CCGATTCAAAGGTCCAGAGAGCTTTGTCGGCCTAGTTCAGTGGTCCAGTCCGATTTTCCTGGCCAGTTTAGTGGTCTAGTCCATTTTTTCAGGTCGGTTCAGTGGTCCAGTCCACTTTTCTAGCCCGGTCCAATTCATTTTTCCCAGTACGGTTCAGTATTTCAGCTCTTCTTTTCTTCAGGTTTATCACTCCAGCAGCCTTAATCAGTTTTGTTTGCTTCTATTATTTGCTATATTATTATGGAACCCAAGAATAAAAATGATGAAAGTCAGGTTGATCTTATTTCATCCACGTCACCAAATTTTTCTCCTACGTTTCTACTTAATGGTCCCATGACATCTGTTAAACTCAATGGGACCAATTATGTTTTATGGTTACGATTTATTCAAGTGTTTCTTAGAGGTAAAGGCTTTAAGAAATATTTAGTGGATACTAAACTCAAGGAAGGTACTCCTGGGTATGATAAGTGGGAACTAGAAGATGCTCAGATTATTTCATTGCTATTGAATAGGATTGAAATCAGTATCAGTTCTACTTTGCTTTATCTTGACACGGCCAAAGAGATCTGGGATTACTTGGCCACCATGTATTCTGGCATTAGGAATTTCACTCGTGCATATGGAGTATGCAATCAATATTTTCGTCTGGAGCAGGGTACTCTTGAATCTTGAGAACTATTACTCTCATGTTCGGGGAGTGAGGAATTGAAGCTCTATCGCCTTTTTACTATTTATGCAGCGGTTTGGCAAAAGCAACATAAGGATTTGAATGTTGTTCGATTTTTAGTTGGTTTGAAACCAGAGTACGAGTCTATTTGCTTTCAGATTTTGGGTGGTTCTAGTTTTCCATCCCTACTGGAGGTTTGCTCCTGCCTACAGCGTTCTACCGTCTCTACTGGTTCACCCAACACAGAGTCTGGTGTGCTTGCTGATCGTTCAGCTCTTGTTGTCCCAAGTAGCCATGGTAACAGATCCCGAGGTGACCGTGGTGGTCGCGGCGGTTGGGGAGGCTGTACTGGTAGCCATACTGGAGGTCGTAGAGGGCGTTCAGGGTCTCGTTCATGCTTTCACTATGGTGATGGAGGCCATACTGTTGATTACTGCTGGGATTTACATGGTAAGCCTTCGAGTATTGCTAATCAGGTGTCTTATCAGGATGACACCCTGACTCCTGCCGCTATACCTCGATCCGCTCCACCTGATTCTGTATCAATTACTCTTACACGGGAGGAGTATACTCAGTTTTTGTCCCATCAGCAGGCTGTTCCATCTCCCTCCACTGTTACTTTTGCCCAGTCAGATACTGTCTCCACTTGTTTATTGTCCTCCACTCGCAGTCCTTAAATCATAGACTCTGAAGCTTTTGACCATATGATTGGTGCGTCTGATGTTTTTTCTACTTATCAGTCTGCTACTTCTACATGTAGTGTTACTCTTGCTAATGGTACTTGTTCTAAAGTTTTAGGTTTGGGGACTACTCACTTGAGTCCTGATCTGTCCCCATTTTCTGTGTTATTTGTTTTTCAGTTTTTTTTTTAGTTTACTTTTCATTAGCAAGATTACTTATTTTCTCAATTGTTCTGTAACATTTTATCTCTTTTATTGTGTCTTTCAGGATCTCAAGACGAAGAGGAAGATTGGTACGGGGCATAAAGCTGGTATATTACCTTGACTTTGATTCACCTACCCGAGCTTTAAAGACCTCGTTGTCTCCTTTTCAATGGCATTGTCGTCTTGGACATCCCTCTCTCCAGAATCTGAAGTGTCAAGTTCCCCGTCTTAGTTATGTGTTGTCTTTGTCTTATGAAACTTGTCAACTTAGTAAGCATCATCGTGTGTTATTTCAGTCTAGAGTCAATAATCGTGTGTCTAGTCTATTTGAATTAGTCCATTTTGATGTATGGGGTCCAATAAAGAATATTTTATCTAATAAATATCCTTATTTTATGACAATTGTGGCTGACTATTCTCGTGTGACTTGGTTATTTTTGATTAAAGTTCGGTCTGAATTATTCTCTATCTTTGAGACTTTTCGTAAGGAAATAAAAACTCAGTTTGGTTGTCGTATACGTATTTTATGTTCCGATAATGCTCGAGAATATGAATCTGATCCCTTTTCAACGTATCTTAGTAAAATTGGTATTATTCATTAGACTTCTTGTGTTTACACCTCTTCACAAAATGGTGTTGCTGAACGTAAGAATCGTCATTTGTTGAAAGTCACATGTGCCTTGTTATTCCAGATAAACATTTTTCGATATTATTGGAGTGATGATGTTCTTACTACTTGTCATCTTATTAATCATATGTCATCCTTTGTGTTAAATGAGCAAAGTCCATATTCTATTCTTTTTCCTGATAAGCCATTATTTTTCTTGACTCCTAAGGTTTTTGGTTGTATCTGTTATGTTCACAATTTAGGTTCTGGGTTTGACAAACTTGACCCTCGAGCTACCAAATGTGTATTTCTTGGTTACTCCCGCATGCAGAAGGGGTATCGTTGCTACAACCCTTCTCTGCACCGATACTTTACTAGTGCCGATGTCACATTTGAAGAGTCTGTTCCATACTTTCTAGCACTTTCTCAGCCTTTGGATTTGGACATTGGATCCTCTCCTGTACCACCATTTCTTTCTTCACTTTTAGATATTCCGTTGCCCACTATGTTATCATCTACTTTACCTCTCCGTGTCTATTCTCGCTGACCTCGCCAGCGACTGAGGTGCCCGTATCATCTTTCTTGCCGCCTTCTGATCTTGGTACATCAGGTAATTTAGACTCTTTATCCATTGTTCTTCGCAAAGGTACTTGTTCGTGTGTTACTAATTATTCCATTTCTCATTTTGTTTCATATGATGTTTTATCTCCTGTCTTCTCCTGTTTTACTTCCCAATTATCTGCTATATCTATTCCTAAGCATTTATAAGCTGCATTATCTAATTCGTGTTGGAGGAAAGCTATGGAGGAGGAGATAGATGTTTTACATTATAATGGGACTTGGGATCTCGTTCTTTTACCCTCTGGTAAACGAACTGTTGGCTGTCGTTGGGTGTATACTGTTAAATATCATCCAGATGGTTCCGTGGAGCGTCTTAAAGCCTGGCTTGTTGCAAAAAGTTTTACTCAGATTTATGGTGTTGATTATGAGGAGATTTTTTCTCCTGTTACCAAAATTTTCTTTGTTCGTATCTTGATTTCTTTGGCTGCTAATCTTTATTAGTCCTTGTTTTAGTTGGACGTCAAGAATGCCTTCTTACATGGTGACTTGGTTGAAGAGATATACACGGAGCAGTCACTTGGGTTTACTGCTCAGGGGGCGTATGTTAAGAGTGTATGTCGGTTAAAAAAATCTTTGTATGGTTTGATGCAGTCACCGAGGGCATGGTTTGATAAGTTTTCAGATGCAGTTTTAGAGTTTAATCTTCTTCAATGTCAGACAGATCATTCTGTGTTTCATAGACAGACAAATGTTGAATATGTCCTATTGGTGGTCTATGTAGATGATATTGTGATTATTGAAAATGATTCTGAGGGGATTGTCAATTTAAAAATATTCTCATAGGATCGATTTCATACTAAGGACTTGAGAAAACTCAAGTATTTCTTGGGTATTGAAGTGGTTCGATCTAAACAAGGTATTTGTTTATTTCAAAAGAAATATGTACTTGACATACTTGAGGAGGCAGGATTGCTGGGTGGTAGACCGGTTGATGTTTTTATGGATCCGAATCAAAAATTATTAATGGATGATAGTGTATTGTTTGGGAATTCGGGTCGATATCGCAAATTAATTGGGAAGCTTAATTATCTCACTATTACTCGATCGAATATTTCCTATGCAGTCAGTATAGTAAGTCAGTTCATGGGATGTTCTAGAGTACCACATTGGGAGGCAATTACTCGTATACTGCGATATCTTAAACGAGCTCCTGAACTTGGATTGGTATATCGAGCTGATGGACATTTTAGAGTGTTTCTCAGATGTTGATTGGGTTGGCTCTCCTTCTGATCAGAGATCAACCACTGGTTATTTTACTTTCTTAGGAGGTAATGTTGTCTCATGGAAAAGTAAGAAACAACTCGTGGTAGCAAGATCCAGTGTTGAGGCTGAGTATAGGGCAATGGCACAGACGACGAGTGAGTTGACGTGGCTACTACACTTCCTCTAGGAAATTGGGTTTCCAGTTCAACTTCATTTATAGTTGTTCTGTGACAATCAGACAGTTATCCATATCGCTGTCAATCATGTGTTTCACGAGAGAATCAAGCATATTGAGATTGATTGTCACTTTATTCGGAACAAGATAGTAGCTGGGGAGATTACAACTCCATTTGTGAAATCTGAAGATCAGCTTGCAGATATGTTTACCAAATGATTGAATCGTATACGTCTTACAGCTGTTTGTTTCAAATTTGGATTATATGATATATATAGTCTAGTTTGAGGGGGAGTGTTAAGAATATTAGGGTAGTTTATGTAAATTGTTAATAGTAAGAGGGTGTATGTGTAATTTTTATTATTGTAGGTCAACTATAAATACAAATGATGTATGGGAGATAGGTTAAGTTTTTTAACCTCTCTCTTTGTCTCTAATATTATGTTAATTCTCCAACTTAACATTTCATACTTGTGTTTCTTAGGTGGCTTTGTTATATGATTTGAGTACTAATACAACAATGTCTTGCATATTCTCAGGAAGCTAGCTTTTCCATGTATTCCTCTCGAAGTCACATTAATTTTTCCAGAAGCTAGGTCTCTTCAATATCAAAATAAGATGAAAAACATGAATTTCTTGGAAAACTCTTATTTCTTCTTCCAAATTTCAAGAGAGAATTTATGTGTTTTCTTGAGATTTAGTATTCACATGGGTTTCCTTTTCCTTGACTGTTTTGTGGATTATGAACAGCTTGATGATTTGGGTTTGCTGGTGATTAGCTGCATCTTTAATGAAATATCTTTAGTAGCGATTAACTGTGTCTTCTTATTTGCCACGTTACAGGCAATACAGGTGAAAGCTCTAAGGTGCATGACTTAAATGTTCAAGCTGATGCTTTAGAAGATGATGAGGATGACATTGACTGGGAGGAGGGTTGATTGTGGAAATCTTAGTATCTTCAAAATTCTATACGGCCTAAAGTCGGGGTCAAGAGTACTGGTTTCTACAACATAGTATCTTGAAAATCTTGTGACAGACCGTGCAATATATACAGTCTTTCCCGTTACATTTGGTCAACCATTTTCAGGTGAATCATATTCTTAGCTAAGATTTCTGTATTGTTTTGTTTAGAGATGCCTTGCATTTGTGCAATGGTTGGGTGTGGAGGTTGAGTATAATGTACTTGGGACATATGACAAATATTCATAATGGATTCCCAAAATACTGAGAAAATACAGATTATCTTGTTACGGTTCACTACTTCTGCCTCTCACTACTTCTGCCTCTCAGTTATGCGGACATTGTGGGAAAAGCAACAATTTTCTGGTCTTCTCTGTCTGTGTGTGTGTGCGAGTATAAGATTTTCGGTGCTTGATAGTTTGCCATTTCAATGAAGACCATTAAGGTGGTCAATATGATTCAATCTGGGCCGTCTGCTACCTTGGCAGTCTGTCAGTGGTTCGAATTTTTATAGATCCAATTCAAATACGATTATAAAATTTGATTTGGATGCAATTTTGATTATTAGATCAATCTTTATATCACTTCGGATCCAAAGTTGTTAAAAATAAGATGTACAATCCGAATATACATTTAACTTAATTGCAGTTGATTTTATCAAATTAATTTTGAATTTTTACTTAATTTTGCCAAATAATCACTAAATTAGATATTGATAAATTCAAATTCGAATTAGCATGTATGATATAATAGACTTTGAATTAAGATTTGTATAATCGGTTAAAAGAAATGAGTTTACATCGGTCTAATTTTTTTTTATCAGGAAATATCGGTCTAATAGAATTTGAATTATAATTGGGTACATTTTTCTTGAGTAGGAGTATAATTTGGTACATGTATGAGTGGTAGGGATGTTCAGTTTTTTTTTGGTTTACCCTGCCCAATTAAGTGTACTATTCTTATTTGAATTTTGTCCAAAACAATTGGATAGGAAGTCGGGTGAAAATATAGTTTTTAGTTAATAAATTTTAGATCATTTTAACAATTTAATTAAGTAACTTGCATCAATTAGTTAGCATAATAAACCAATAACATTAAAGAAAACACAATAAATTTGATAATATATAAGTAATTACAATAAAACACAACAAGAAAGTTATAAACATCAATATAACATATATAAGAAAGTCATAAACATCAATAAAATATTAGAGTTTTTAGACTTTTGGATTTTAATTTTTAGGGATTAACATAATATATATATATATATATATATATATATATATACCAGAACATAATGAATGAAGTCTTTAATTGTATCAGTCATTTTTCTATTGTCTATATAGATGATATACTTATCTTCTCCAAGACAATAGAAGAACATTGGAAGCACCTCTATACTTTCAATACAATTATCCAACAAAATGGATTAGTATTATCTGCATCCAAGATTAAATTATTCCAAACCTCAGTAAGGTTTTTAGGATACAATATCCAGGATTCTACTATCACTCCTATTAGTAGAGCCATCCAGTTTGCAGATAAATTTCCAGATGAAATCTTAGACAAAACCCAATTACAAAGGTTTTTAGGTTCTCTAAATTATGTTTCTGACTTTTATCAGGATCTTAGGAAAACCATCAAACCTCTGTATGACAGGCTCAAAGGAAATCCTTCTCCTTGGACCACTGTTCATACTTCTATTGTTCAACAGGTCAAGAAGTTCATAAAAACTCTTCCCTGTCTTGGTATTCCGTCCGTTGATTCTTTTAAAATCATCCAGACTGATGCCTCTGATGTTGGTTATGGTGGAATCCTCCTTCAGAGAGAATCTCATAATTCTCCTGAACAAATTGTTCGATTCCATTATGGTATTTGGAATAAAACTCAAAAGAATTTATTCCACTATTAAAAAAGAGATTTTATCTATTGTCCTGTGTATCTCTAAATTCCAGGATGATATATTAAATCAGAAATTCCTTGTGCGGGTTGACTGTAAATCAGCCAAGGATGTTTTAACCAAAGATGTCAAAAATATAGCTGCTAAGCAAATTTTTGCTAGATGGCAATCTATTTTAAGTATTTTCGATTTTGATATAGAATATATCAAAGGAGAATATAATTATATTCCTAATTTCCTAACCAGAGAATTTTTGCAGGAACCTCATGGAAGACAGGAAATCTAGTTCATCCGGAACTTCCTCCAAAAATACGGGGGAAAGAAGGATAAACAAAAACAACCCAAATCTGAACCTGACTTGCCAGTAGCCTTGTCAAACAGATTTTTATCATTGGAAACTACTCAGCCCAATAGGCCAGTAGCCCAATCTGCCTTGGTTATCCGGCCCGTAGCCGTATCAACCACTGTCAATCCACTAACCTTTACCCAAATGGCCCAACAGCCACCTGTCAGGACCACTAGTGCCATGACAAACCCTTATAAAGCCTCACAACCCTTTGCAGCCCAATTAGGCCCAAAGGTTGATTATATCAAAGCCTATTCCCAGAATGTTCTAGCCATTGAACTAGCCCATTCTAAATATAAGGATCCAAAAGACCTTGTAAAGGCCTACCTCCCAAAAGGTTGGACCTACATTCCAGTAGACTTGGAAAACCCCATAGTTTTTACCAAGACATTCTCTACTACACCAAATCTATCCATACCAAGTCCATCCTTGATAAGATTAACCCAAATAAGGTTCTCTATCATAGCTTGGTCATAACCAAGATTATTTCTGTTGAGGAATGGGGTTCTCATCCTTCTTTGCTCAGAGAACTTCCCTTTCACACCAGACATTTTAATTACTATGACTACATTGAGTCATGGTCAAAAGTATTACTCTACCAAAATGAGGATTTGTCTCATTCTTGGTTCTTGAATTTTCATAAAGATTTCAAAAGCCATATTCCTGCATGGTTTAAACAGTGGTGGCATCAACATGGTCCCATTGATGAAATCTTTCCAGCTGATCTCAAAGATCAGATCAATATCCTCTACTCCTCTTACCGTCCTAGTAAACAGGAGTCCCCATTTCCCTTATTACTAATATTTATTTGCAGGTACAAAGTCCCCTAGATACTCAAATGGCAATGGGAAATTGTTGGATTTAATTTAACCCGGCAATTTTATGCCAAGTGGTGGCCCAGGTTTCAGCATAGTGACATTATTGTCATGGTGAAACAGGACTTCCCTGTAAGGATCCCAACTCCAGTAGTAGTTCCAGCCCCTTACAACCAGCAACACCAGTGAAGGAATTGCCCGCTCAATCAAGCCAGGCTAGTCTTCCTATAGCACAGACCAGACCAGAAGAATCTTCATCTAAAGGTTCTAAAGGCTCCAGCAAGAAGTCCAGCAAGAAGAAGTCCAAAGCAAAACTTCTCAAAAAGCTCTTGGATCAACTTGACTCAGACAGTGACTCATCGTCTTCCCAAGGATCTTTCACAACAGATCTTCCTCCAGGCTATGCTCAGGATCCGTATGAAGGAATGGAAGACTTTGATGTTGATGATCTCACTCCTGACCTTGCACTCCCGTGAATTATGGTTTACATAAAGTGGCTTCAATCACTACTTTCTTCAAAAGAGAAAGAAAAGCTGTCCACTCTGTGTAAAAATAATATCACAAGTCTGCATAGGATCCCCTTTCCCTAAAAGCAGGATTCTCACAGACAAAAGCAGGGCCCATAATCTGCTTTTCCACCGAAAGATGGATTCTCAGGACAGACAGATAGGACCCACTAGTCCCTTCAGCATGTCCTAGTTACCCGGGTAAAAGAATCTTACTCCACTTTTCAGCCGAAAGCAAGAAAGTGAATTTACTTTACCCTGAGTAAAAGAGAAAGGCAGAATGATTGCACAAGGAGAATCCGAAGTCCCTTACCTCTATATAAGGCAGCTCCCTCTCCTCAGAAGAACCCAAGTTTTTGAACTTCAGACACTCTCTCTAGTCTGGTTTCAGAACTACATTACAAGCCACTAATACTTGTAAACCTACCCCTCACTTGTAAAGCCTTCTTTAAGAATGCAAAAGAAGAGCTCTATCTCCCTTTTATTTACCGCTTATTTCCACTAGACCAGTAGTTCTAGTGTTGTAAGTATTTATTTCTTAGTGAAATATTTCGTTATTTATCAGTCTCTTTCTATTCCGCATCATGTCTATAGGTTTCCTGTCTTCCATGAGGTTCCTGCAAAAATTCTTGGTTAGGAAATCAGGAATATAATTATATTCTCCTTGATATATTCTATATCAAAATCGAAAATACCAAATCTGAACCTGACTTGCCAGTAGCCTTGTCAAACAGATTTTTATCATTGGAAACTACTCAGCCCAATAGGCCAGTAGCCCAATCTGCCTTGGTTATCCGGCCCGTAGCCGTATCAACCACTGTCAATCCACTAACCTTTACCCAAATGGATATATATATATATATTATTCCTATCCCATTTTATTACGGAATACTAAAAAATTTTCTTTTGGCCTAGCCAATTCTTTCAAGTAGCTGATCAATAAAATTAGGTAGGGTAAGGTAATTGTGCGGGCTTGATCCTGCACGATATATATAAAATATTGGGAACAGATATCTCCCCTGGTGAACTCTGGGTGAGCCGGTTGAGTGGGCAAGCACACTGCTCGAAACAGCCTACAAGGAACGGTGGCAACCAGGAGCGGTGAAGGAAGATCCTGGAAAAGGAGGAACGATCCTGTACGTGCGAAAGGTATTTCCTGGGACAAAAGAGAACAGGTTAGAAGGGCGCCGGAGTGTTTTCCGGCGTATCCCCTCCGACGGTCTAGTCAGTCTTTGAATGAGAGAGAGGAAGGAGAAAACACTGAGAAGGATATTTCGTAGTAAGGAGTTTGTGATTGCATACCATTTGCCTTTTTGGGAGGGGTATTTATACCTTAGAAGCTCATGATTGCTGTCAGTGTGGTCAGTAGGTGATCATCAGGCACTGGCAGCGTGTGTATTGATTGACGAGG